TTATCTACAAGGGTATATAAGCTTCGGCTGGCCGAAGGTAGCTTCCTTTCTTGTTAACACTGAATTTACAACATCCGCATTTCCTGACTGTTGGAAAATAGCAAAAATTATCCCAACTATGAAAGCCAACAAGGAATATAGAGCTATATCAATTCTACCGTTCTTATCGAAAGCCTTTAAGAACATTATGGCAGCCCAAATAAACGCATATATAGGTGATAATTCTTTACTTAACAACAACCAATCGGGATTCAGAATAAAACTTAGCTGCACCTCAGCAATCCTAAAAATCTCGGACTACATACGTAAACATGCAGACAAATCCAACGTGACGCTTCTAGTACTTCTTGACTATAGTAATGCTTTTGACTCTGTTAAACATGAAGTTTTGTGTTCAAAATTTAAAACTCAGTTCAATTTCTCAACAGCTTCTGTCAAACTTATGACCTCGTATCTAAAAAATCGCCGGCAGTCTGTAGTACTATCAAAGGTTTCGTCTTATTTTGTATACCTTAAACGTGGTGTGCCTCTAAGGTTCAGTTCTTGGACCTTTACTGTTTACTCTGTATGTCAATAACCTTCCCTGTGTGTTGTCAAATAGTGATGTTCACATGTACGCAGATGATGTCCAGTTATATTGTAGCCGTTCCATTAGTAAAATTAACGAGTGTGTGAATATATGTAATATATGTAAATAAGGCTGTAGGAAAAACGTTCGGTTTCTTAAGATCTCTCTGTCCAGTTAAAAGTCTGTTACCCATAAATGTTCATATGTTAATTGCCAAGACCTGTTTAATCCCAACACTTTTTTATGGTATAGACATTTTTTCAAACTGCGATGCAGCCGCCATCAAAAAATAAAAGTTGCACATAATAATATAGCAAGATTTATATTCAATCTACGTCGATTTGACCAGGTGACAAGCTACGCATATAAAATATTTGAACTTAATTTGACCGATTGGATGAAACTGAGAGTTTTAATATATCTGCATAAAATAATTTACACGAGGGAACCAACTTATCTCTTTGAAGCATTAAGATTCACTTCCTGAAGAAGAGCAAATAACCTCATTCAAATAAGACACTGATCTCTACTTTCTGAAAGGCAGTTTTTGTAAACGCAATAAAGCTATGGAACCAGCTCACAAACCCTTTAAAAAATATTAGTAGCGCCACGCAGTTTAAGTCAAAAATCACATTACACCAGTAGCGGATCCAGAATTTATGGGGGGTTGCATACTTATTGAATACCAAAATTTCTTTCATTTTTCACACCAGTGGGGGTGATATATCACCCATATCACCCCCCGTCGATCCGCGCATGCATTTCACCATTACACAAAGCGACCCTTTTTCTTTAACCATTAATGTTTAAGCGTAACTTTAAGAATTTCATTTAAGCTTCCAAACAACTACGTCAAATCTGTATTTATGTCTAATTTGTCCCTAATTTGTCGCACTAATTATAGGTTATTAACTTGTAGCGTTGGGAAAACATTTTAAAATAAATAAAAATTTAAATTTGCGGCTTTCATTTTTTTATTAGTTTATGCAAAAAGAGACAGAGGGACAGTTGCATTTCGACTGGGCTATTTAATCTTATCATTTAGATTTTCTGGTGCTACATGGTTTTTTTTACGTCATTTAACTTCCACAGAACATACAAGCTACATATATAGAACATTAAAGTCCATTTTAAGTCCTTAAAATGTATGAAAGGTATTGACTCGAAGATCAATCTTGTTTTTATAATTTTGCAATATACCAATTGGTTTAAAAGATATGTGCATTCAATTAATGTTTTCAATTTTTATAAAAAAAATTGGAGAATAATATTCTTATTTAAAATTTAAATTATAAAAATTGAAAATCCCTGCAGGAAAAATGCGAACTAGTCTGAAAAACAACTAGTAATACAACTAAAATAAAGCAACCGGAATTTTTATACCCTTGCAGAGGGTATTATGATTTCAGTCAGAAGTTTGCAACGCAGTGAAGGAGACATTTCCGACCCCAAAAAGTATATATATTCTTGATCAGCATCACAAGACGAGTCGATCTAGCCATGTCCGTCTGTCCGTCTGTCCGTCCGTCTGTCCGTCCGTTTCTACGCAAACTAGTCTCTCAGTTTTAAAGCTATCGGGATGGAACTTTCGTAAAAGTCGTATTTCTATTGCAGGTAGTATATATGTCGGAACCAATCGGATCGGACAACTATATCTTATAGCTCCCATAGGAGGGATCAAAAAAAAAAAACGTAAAAAAATTCTAGCTCCGGTGTTTTTTGAAATTTTACCTTCTACTCTTGGAAATATTTTTTTTATATATTTCTATATTTCGGTTTTTTTGTTTTTTAAATCGGTTCACTATATCATATAGCTGCCATAGGAACGGTCGAAAAATTAAATGAATATTTATGGGAAAAAAATTATATCTTTGTTGGTTTTTATTACATTTCCTTCTACTCTGGGATATGACTATTTTTAAATATTTCCAAATTTCGATTTTAATTTTTAAAAGATCGAACTACTATATCATATAGCTGTGATAGAAACGATCGAAAAATTAATGTGAAATAATAAGAAATTTAACATTTTTGCGATTTGTAAATTAATAGAATGATCTTCAAGGGTATATAAGCTTCGGTTTGCCGAAGCTAGCTTCCTTTCTTGTTCTGAATGCATTTGGACTACACAGGGTCTAGAAAATTTGTGCTAGTCGAAAAAATGATTAATACAAAACTAGTAAAAAAAAGAAACTTGTCTTGGACTAGTACCTTTCTGACAAAAAAAACCTTAAAAATATGTAACTGGTACAACAAATACATGTTAGGGTCTAGTTAAAATGCAACTGGAATTTAACTAGTTGCAAATGAAACACATATGATCCAAAAATATAGCCTAGAGTGTAAATGTCTTGGGAAATTTAATAGTCTAGTCACACTGTGTGGGGTAACCTATCGAGTGAGCCAATAACCCAATTACTCCAAAAAAGTGTTTCCACTTGGTTAACTCCAAATATCGAGTAATGACATCTAGTGTTTGTTGTTTGTGTTGTTCATTTGACTAGGGATGGACCTTCAACGATAGGAAATAAATACAAAATATACCGAAATATACGAAAAAATACTCCGAAATACCAAAGACCCTAAATGTACCCCACTTTTGCCCACGTCTAGTTGCCTATAGGGGAGAGGTCTGTAGGTTGAGCCACCTTTTGTTTTTAGTCTCCCATTTGGACATTCGCTTTTGAAACTTCACGTGTTAGGTACTGATCGAAAGCTTAGTCTTTTAGCTGTAAAATAAAGCAACAAAAAAATTGTTTTCCCCTTGGGAAAACTAAAAAATAATTTTTTTTGAAAAGTGCCAAAAAATGACAATTTGAAAAAGAGGTCTGTAGGTTGAGCCACTTTTTAAAGTCAATAATACTCACACAAAAAGTACTCCAAACTATAAGGAACTATTTATTTATGTTAATTTAATCAATTTTAGTTCGTCCTAAATTATTCCCCATCCATTTTTTAAGAACTTCGACCAAATAACAATTAAAATCAAAAGGCTCTTTGAACATTCACTTTTCCCCCTAATATCAAAGAAATGTGCTAGGCAGAAAGCGACCTCTGTTGGCCTAAGGCCTTTTTCTATGAAAAACGGGTGTCTCAACTTACACAAAATGGGATGTTTCGGGAAAAAATTAATAACTTTTGTTCTGACTGTCACATTAAGCTGATTCTTTTTTTAATTAGTTAACAGTTAATATACTAATGTTTTAAATCTCTTACCAAGTTAATTTAAGGACGTTATTAATAATTATAATTTTTGAAAAAAGTAGACAAAAACTTTTTTGGTGCAAAATGGTGCACGACTCTCACAGCTTAAATCTGGCTAGAGCCTGGCTTATAATGTTTTCCCCAAAAGTTTTGTCACTAAAAAGGACTACAAAAAAAAGAAATAAAAAAAATTTTTTTAGTGGAAAAGTTTTGAGAAAATTGAGTGTCTCAACTTACAAACCGTCTCAACCTACAGACCTCTCCCCTACACATCCTATGTAAAAAAAAACAGGTTTATGTCAATAACCCCATAACTCCATAACTCCACCCCAGTGTAAATAGACTATAACACTAAACAAATCAAACACTCGAGGTCCTCGGTTCAATCCCCAGTCTCTGTACATTGTTTTTTGTTTTTTGGTGATGCTTTAGTTTTATTTAAAACTTTGTTTAATCTGTCCGAGGCAATATATATGTGAAAAATCGCTGTTTTTGAATTATGTCACACTAAAATTCATAAACCTTGTTAGGGCAATACAAAATGTGATGCGTGTATGGCTCAATCAGTTAGTGTGTCTACAAATCCAAAGGTCCCGGGTTCAAGTCCTAGAGAGGGCGACTTGCCTCAAAAAAAGTAAGTTTGTTTTAATTCCATTTAATTATCATTTACTGTATTTGATTACATAATAATTATCATAAATTCTCTAAGGACCGCGCCTATTGATTGGATACTAAATTAGGAGAGCGTCAAGTTAGGCATCGTCAAGTACTAGTGAAATTCAATCACTTGATGGATTAGAGATAAATTTTTAGTTTTTTCGTGAAAATATTTTTTTCAGTGTAGTTTAACAGCTGTAACCGTAAATTGGTTAACAGTAACTAGTGCAAAACTAGTAGCAAATGGACTAGTTGTTTCTGACGACAAAAATGGACCACTTCGTTACAAGGAAATGGACATAACTTTAACTAGTTAACCTTCTTGACCCAACTAGTATATTAATGGTCCAAAACTGATTCCGTTTCCTGCAGGGATAAGACTTATTTTGCAATTTTTATTATACAAATTATTTTATTATTATTATTAAATTAATATTATTTTATAATTTTTATTTTAAAAATCATAAAAATTACAATCCTTGAAATAAACTGTTCGTAAAAGCCAATGCGCTTTCTCGACTCCTTTAATTTATCTGAACGAGAAACAATGTGCTGTAAAGCGTGCTTTGATTATTCTATCAGCTAAGAACCCGGAAGCAAAAATAAAAGCTCTAGCTACCGGTATAAAAAGAACTAAAGCTCCACGGAGAAGCAGTCAGATTCTCAGATACGGCCGGCAATAATACCAGTCGCGCACGAAGAAGTTCAAAAGACAGAATGTGGTCTTATACCGACGGTAGAGGCTAGCCCGCGGAGTCCAATGCCACCAGGAGATAAGAACCCGTTTTCCTCTTCTACCGTCCTCGATAAGGAGGCGTCTATAGATCAGCAAGGATCTGAAGAGTCGAAAACCGCCGCCAATTTCACCCAAACCAGGGAGAAGATCGGAAAATAAAGACGTCTTTTGACAAACGAACAATACTCCGATGACAGTTTCCGCAGCACTTGGTGATCTCCACGCTTTTGAATTTATAAAATATAATAATAAAGGGACTTACCAAAGAGAAAGCCACAAAAACTGCAGTTCAGCAATTACTGCGAGACAAACTGGAGTTCCCACAGATTGAGGTGCAAAACACGCGAATAATTTACGAGAGGGCAAACAATGTTGGAGTAATAGTTGAGCTGGACTCCGCATCCAAGGTCAACGAATCCTTACGTAACGGAAAACAACTAGCAGGAACTAAAATATTCGTCGAAAAAGATCTCTGCATTAAAGAGCAGGAACAAAAATTAGTTCTACTCCTGCTAAAACGCCATCTAGCAGCGGTTGACAACAGTATCAAAGTAATGGTCGGGAAGATGAAATTAACATACAAGGCAAGTGCATTATAATCCCGAAAAAACACTAATTCACAAAAGTCAACCAGACCATTTAAATGCGATTTATGGAATAAACCAAGAAGACATAAGTCCTCTCTAAGGCAAGACTGCCAAAAAACTAGAAAAAAACAAAAATCAGTACAGCAGCCAAAGCCCTAACCCGGTAAATAAAATTAGTTTAAATCAAAGCATGCAAATAACTGTTAACCGTTTTTTTCCTTACGCTCTACTCCCGAGAACAACCGAAAAATAGCATGCCCCTCGTTCTCTCTCTGCGCAGCACACTTCGTTTCCTTTCGTTTTGGTTTTCGGTTGAGCCTTTTACGTTGAGCTGTTCGTGAGACGCTCTGTTACGAACCTCGTTCAATGAGAGATACGAATGTCGCTCGCACAGGGAGACTTATTAAAAGACCGATTGACTGAAAAAGTCATCGCAAAAAGTCTTTTCACTAATACAACTATACAATGTATTCCCTTTGAAAGTACGTGCGAGTGAAAGGGAGAGCAATATCGCCCAAGCACGTTAACGTTAACACATGCGCAAAAGACTTTTTGAAACGTCGTTCAGGAGCAATCGGTCTGTAAGCGAGCCGAGCAAAAGAAAGCCGAAAAAACTGCTCGTCGGCTGAGTGCGAGCAAAATTTCCGTACGAACAATTCAATCGGTTGCTCCCTGATTGTTTGCTCAAAGTCTCAGAGAAAAACAGTTATTTGGGGACCGCACGAATCGGTCAACAGTTAATTGCGAGCTATGGTTTAAATATAGTAGCATACAATATAGCTGGAATACCAAATAAACGTATTTTTAGTAAATTCTTCTCTTTTATAGACACTTTTGAAATATTCCTGATATTTGAAGCTTTGGCCAGTATGAAACGTATTTCCCAAACCACAAGCTACACTGGATTCCCGCAACGCGGTCGAGTGGACGACAGGTTCTCGGGATAAGCATACAGATGGACCCTGGAGTAAGCTGCAGTTTTACAACACAACAATGCCACAATTACCACAATATCCTTGTCCTGTGCCCAAAACAAACTTTCCATACTGCCCGGATACCTGAACTGCAACAACTGGAAGCAAGATTTCGAGGAACTCAACAATTGGCAACGTCATAATAGTTGGCGACTTGAATGCGAGGACAGGAGAGCACCAGATCGAAACGGAGACTGGATTCTCAACGGCGTGCTTAATCAACAAGACTGGAAGAGCCTGCGACAAAACAGCGAATGGAAATGGTCTTAAGCTAATAGATCTATGCGAAACCACAAATATGGCAATTCTAAACGGCAAAATGAGTGGAGATACGGATGGCAACTTTACTTTCGTAAGAGGACAAGCCAGCTCCGCGATAGACTATTGTGCTATAAGAGGAGCCTGACACCAGTGTTATGCCTAGTACTCACTTCAATCGAAAAGCCTACGAAATGAAAATCTCCATACAAATTTTTGATCAAGAAATTTTCCGCCTGTCATTTTTGTATAGAAATTTTCGTTTCGTTGCCTTTTTGATTGAAGTGAGTAATAGGCCTTACAGGAAACTTTCTCCGATCATATGCCGCTATCAGAAAAACATTCCCAATTGAACGGCGACCATCTGCTTCCCAAGCTAAGATGGGTGGAATATACAGAAACAGGCTGGATAGATGTCTGAGGCAAAGAAGCAAAAACAATGAATGCACAATAAATGAAGTCACACGGGTCATTCAAGAATCTGCACAAGCCATGCAAAGTGAACGCGCACGAAAGCACTCTTTTAAACAGCTCCAGAATATTAGGAAGAACGCCAACGATGAAACCAAACAGCGTATAAGTCACTATGCAGAGCATAAGAATCGGATCGAATACCAGACAGGGAGGAATCAAGGTAACCGCATTGTCGCTTTGCTTGCACTTTAAAGAACTACTTCAGTTGTCAAGCAGAACGCAGATTAACTACGCACTGCCATATTTGGAAATAAATGAGCTCGACGAACCGATACAACTCAGCGAAGTCCAAGATGCAGTCCGAAGGATCGATCGAGTTCCGGCCGAGTTCTACAAAAACGCCTCAACGGAGCTAATTTCACTATTAACGCTGGTGTATAATCGCATTTTAGAAGACCGTATGGGAGAGTTTAAAGCGAAACATCATTTTCCCGATCTTTAAGAAAGGGTACCCAAAAGCTGCTGTCAACTACAGAGGTATATCCTTCCTCGACAGTGTGCAAAAAATCTTTACGTCGATACTACTAGAGAGAATATCCAAGTACGTAGAGCGAAACCAAATTCTAAGCGAATACCAAGCCAGTTTTAGGAACGGCTACTGATAGTGGATAGTATTTTTACATTAACATCTGCTGCTGCGAAGTTCTATAAAAAAAAGGAAACAATTTACTTGTTTTTCATTGATTTTAAAGCAGCTTTCGACACGATCGACAGGAGGGCATTAATCCTAAAGCTAATCAATTACACGTAAACCTACTGTACCAACTGGAATCTCCAAATTAACCTGGACAAGTCAATAGTTATGTGCATCTAAGATCCCAGTGGTCGCCTGGCCAGAGATGAAAGATGGACCTTAAATGGTAGCGAAATTGAAGTAGTAAAGGAGTACAAATATCTAGGAAGCTTCAAGAAACATCTGCAACAAAAGCTCAAAGATGCCAAAGTTGCACTGAACAGTACTTGGCGTTCGTTTCTAGCAAAGCAAGAAGTCAAGAGCAGCCTTAAATACAAATCATTCGAACCCACAGCAAAAGCCATAATGTGTAATTCTGCCGAAGTCTGGGGACTCGTATTCCGAAGAAGTTGAAAAATTGCTAACTTTTTTCTTAAAAAGACTCTTTAGGTTGCCATCGAACACACCAAATTACGCGATTACGCTAGAAGCAGGACCAGCCCCCTCTTTTGCAGCACACTGAATCATCACTTCAGCTACATCAGAAAAGTGATGTTCCTTGACTCTAGGAGGCTCCCAAAAATTGTGGCATCACACATGCTACAAAGCAAATCGCAGTGCTTCCAAGAGTGGTGTCATCTTGCAAGCAGTATTAACGTGCAATTCGACTGGGACGATCAGACCTCTTGGAAGGACAGCCACCAGAATATTCTCTAAACATTCTGGGGCCATGTCTGTGGCAAGGTCTTGGTTGTTAGACGTTCCTCTTTCAATTCTGTACTGCCCAATTTGAGAACACGTTAGCTCAACTTCACTGAATTGACTCAACAATAAACCCGGCTTCAAGCCAAGATAACAAATCCACAAAACGTTATCGCAAAATTGGAACCCCGGAATCGGTCATTATTGGATTAATATGCGATTTCCACACGCGAACATTCCGCCGGCCTTGCAATGTGTTGCAACAATGCATCCGTTGGCGCCTCATATCTTCAGCATCGACATGCTCCCGAAAGCGTCCAACCGAAGACGGGGTTTTGAGCGACTGGCAGACCGTCTGTACTCGGCAAGACTCCTGCGCATATAACATCCGAATAAACGTCAGCTCCTAAAACGATAGCCACAGTGGATGGGCGATCAAACCGCTCATCAGCCAGAGTTAGGTGCTTGAACTTCTGACGAATCCGCAGATCAATTGGAGTAGATGGCGTGCGATGGCTGAGATGCGGGTCAATCTTCAAGTAAACTTCTAGACGGAATTCTGGTGTCATTATGGACTTAATAACCGCGCTACACACTTCCTCGCTGCCAACTGAGATCTTCTCGAGGTGAAATGCTTGTGCCATGGAGGCGTTAATCCGAGACACCGGCTCACAAGGATCGATGAGCGCTCTCGTATCGAACTGTGTCGCCCCATTGTGGACCAGGATAGATGCGGTGGGAAACACTCGGGGGCTTCTGTGTTGTAACAAAGCCGTCAGGGACGATGACGAAACCCCGGTTCCAGGCTGGAACGGCGATTGAGTCACCGATGTCGGGCTTCTTGTATGACGGGGTGACCGTGACCCAGTATAGGGCGATCTGGACCTAGATCGTGGAAGCTTCCGCATGTGTAGCAGTGTATGATGGGCCCCGTCACATTGACGGCATTTGTTACCACTTCGGCAGAATTCACCCGAATGCTCATGAGCCAGGCAGTTAGCACAGTACCCATTGATTAGTACTGCCCTGAGCCGCTTCTCCATCGTCAATCTCAGAAACCGTACGCACTTCTTGAGAGGGTGGACGCCTCGGCAAACTCGGCAACGGTAGGAGTGAATACCTCGAGTACATTTGCGCTCATTGGCTTGTACCTGCTCTCGGCGTGGGCGTGGCGTCATGGTGATCTGAGGACGAAAACCGGATGGATGCAGGATGATCTGAATAATGAAATGAATGATGAATGAGTAAAATGAATGATGAATGAGTGAAATGACTGATGAATGAGTGAAATGAATGATGAATTAATTGATGATTGGTTATTGACTGGAAATGATTGACGAGTAGGAGGACAGGATCTGGGATTCCATTGGAAGCCAAATAGTTTTAGTGATCGGTCTTTTAATGACTCCCCGCGACGTGGTTAGATCGACCACTCGGGTCTTGTCATCGTTTCCCATGTAGATTCGCTGGACTCGAGCCACCCGCCATTCGTTTGAGGGAAGGTTGTCTTCTTTTACGACGACGAGATCGCCCACCTCAACATTCCTAGACGGGAAACGCCACTTGTTTCGCTTATGCAATTCGCTTAAATACTCTCGCTTCCATCTGACACAGAGTTGTTGGCTCTGAGCCTTGAGGCGTTGCCAACGATTTAGGATTGAGGCAGCCCCTTCCTTAATCTCCGGCTCAGCGACCGAGAGTAGCGGTGCTCCAATGAGAAAATGGCCAGGTGTCAGCGCCAGCTGGTCCGTTGCGTCCTCAGACATTGGTGCAATTGGCCTCGAATTCAGACAGGCTTCAACTTTACAAAGGTAGCGTCGCGACTTCCTCAAACGTCTACTTAGACGTAGCCATAGCCTTATAAAAGTGAGCTTTAAAGCTTTTCACTCCCGCTTCCCACAGCCCGCCCATGTGGGGCGCACCGGGAGGGATAAAACGCCACTTAAGCTGTTGATGCTGGTATGTATCAACAATTAACCTCTTTGTGGATTCAAGAAAATCAGAGTTCAAGGCTCTAGCTGCCCCGACAAAGTTTTTACCATTGTCGGAATGGAAAAGCAGCAAGAAATGCTTTGGAGGATAGATCGGATGTTGCTTCAAGATGGATTGCCTTTGTGGTGAAACATACAAATACACACACATACCCCTTTCTTATACGACACGCGCGGCCAGTAAAACTCTTAATTTCGAACGGACCCGCAAAGTCCACACCCGTGTACGTGAAAGGTCTAGAAAAGGTAACTCGCTCTGTTGGAAGATCGCCCATTAGTTGTGATTGCACCTTCTTCTTGTAGATAATGCATACTTTGCATGCGCGGATGACGGACTTTACAATATTTTGTAGTCTTGGAATCCAATATTTTGAGCGTATTAGACCTACGACGAGCTGGTTCCCACCATGTAGGGATATTTTGTGTGTGAAGCGAACCAGCAAACGAGCCAAATGGGTGGATGCTGACACTAAAATCGGATACCGTTCGTCATAAGACATGGAGTCCGATGCTTGGACCCGTCCACACGCTCGTAGCACACCTAGCTTGTCAATGAAAGGATTTATATTTACAATTGGGCTGGACAATGGGTGATGCTGTTTTTTCTCAAAAAGCCGACGTTCATCCTGATAACAAGCTTTTTGAGTTGCAAGAGTTATCGTTTCCAAAACCTCTGCGAGCTCTGACCCTGTAAGCTCTAATGAGGACGATCGGCATGTATTTCGACAGCCCTTTATAAAGCGAATAGCATATGCCGTAACGTGCAGTGCCCTCCCCAGGTCGGAGAACCGTAAAATGAGATCTCATGGACTAAGTGGGCTAGGAATAGCAACATGAACCTTCACATAGCGTTGTTCGATCGCCGTGTCTGGAGCCGACACCATCGATTCTCGCCAGCTACTTTGCGGTGACTTCAACCACACTGGACCATGCCACCACATTTCGTTAGTCACCAACTCTGTGGCACATACCCCCCGACTTGCCAAATCCGCGGGGTTATCCTCTGAGCGAACATGGCGCCAGTTGTCTAGCCTGTCCGTTCGAGCTATTTTAGCCACTCTGTTGGCTACGAAAGTAGTCCATTGACATGGAGGCTTGTTCAACCACGCCAAGACGATCGTCGAGTCTGTCCAGAAATACTTTTCGGTGACGTCGAGTGGAAGTTGCGGAACAATGGCTGCTGTCAAATCGGCTAAAAGTACTGCCCCACATAACTCAAGTCGTGGCAGTGAAATAGTTTTCACCGGGGCGACCCGTGTTTTTGCCGCAAGGAGATTGCATACTATGCCTTGAGGCGTCTCTACCCGAACATATATGGCCGCCCCATAGGCGCGTTGTGAAGCATCGCAGAAACCGTGGATTTGTGCTCTCGCTTTTGGGCACGTTTGCAACCATCGCGGAATTCGGATTTTATTGATCTCCGGAAAGCTTTGGAGGAAAGATAGCCACTCTTCGGCTAGGGCGACGGGCCACACGTCATCCCAGGCCAATTCTCTTAGCCATAATTCTTGCATAAACAACTTTGCACGGACAACAAACGGAGCCAGCCACCAAGCTAAAAAAAAAATTTTTTTTTTTGGAAAATTTTTTCCCCCTTTTTAAGGGGGGAAAAAAGGGGGGGGAAAAAAAAAAAAAAAAAAAAATAACCCCCCCCCCCCCCCCAAACCCCCCTAATTTTTTTTGCCTCCCCCCCTTCTTTATTAAAAAAAAAAAAAAAAAAAAAAAAAAAAATTTTTTTTTTTAAAAAAAAATATTTTTTGTTTTTCACCCTTTACAAAAGAAAAACAACGAAAAAAAAAAAGGCCCCCAACAAAAAAAAAAAAAAAATATCTCCCTCCCCCCTTGACCCTACACCCCCAAAACAAAAAAAAAAAAAAAAATAATAATTTTTATTAATTTTGTTTTTTTGTTTTTTTTTAAAAATCAACAAAAACCAAAACAAAAAAAACAAAAAAAAAAAAAAAAAAAAAAAAAAAAAAAAAAAATATTAAAAAAAAAAAAAAAAAAATTTATCTTTATTTTTATTAAAAAAATTATTTTTATATGGTGTTTTTTTGGTTAAATAAAAATTTAATATAAATTTATATTAAAAAAAAAAAAAAAAAAAAAAAAAAAAAAAAAATAATTAAAAAAATTTTAAATTTTTTTTTATGTAAAAGAAAAAAATAAAATATCGACATGCTTGATGCGTTGAACACAACTCGCACCTTTGTTGTTGTACTATCAGGCTTAAAGACCGCGTATTGCGAAAGGTAAAAATTTTGTGAGCTGCTATCAGCTGGTACTTGGCACATGTGGCCCAACTCCAAGTATTCTCGAGTGACTTGGCTGTACTGGGCCTTCAAAGCGGAATCTTTGTTCAAACGATTTTCATTCTTTAGGAATTGGGACATTGCTATTGATCTGGAATGACCCAAAGAAATGGCGCCTGGGTTACGAAATGGAAGCAATACCACGTATCTCCCACACTCTTGTCGCTTCGTGGTTGTTTAAAAAAAATGCTCACATACCGTATCGGGCTCCTCAGCTGCTGGAAGCGGTAGATCCTCCACCTCCCAAAAACGAGTGAGAAGGTTTTCCAACTGGTCATGGTTCTCAACAGAAATTCGAGTAGAGAATGATGAAATCGAAGTAGGGACTAGACCGGAAATTACCCAGCCAAATATCGTTTCTTGTTCTAAGAGGGTTCCGCATAAATTCGGACGCACCCCTTCTAACAGAATCGACGGGATAATATCGGCTCCGACAAGAACATCAACTGGTGCGCTTTTTGAAAAGGACGGGTCGGCTAACTGGATATTTGGCAAATCCCTCAACGCAACGGATGGAACCTCACGCCAGGGAAGATTCTCTGCCAACTTTGGAAGAACATAGGCGGAAATTTGTACTTGAATGCGAGGACGATGCGAGGAGCCCAAACTGAATTGACGAATTATTTGAGATTGGCCAGCAACAGCTTGATTCAGCCCTGAGACTCGTGCTTGCACCTTCGTATAAGGAATCCTTGTAGTCCTGAATAGTTTTTCAGAAATAAAGGTGCCCTCAGACCCAGAGTCGATCAAAGCTCTAGCTGTGAAAGCCACGCCGTTGCAGATAACTTGCACAAGTGCAGTCCCTAGCAAAACGCCTAGCATGTTGCCGACAAAGAAAGTGTTTACGTTTGGAGCAATGGGGTTGCTGGTACTCGCCGTAGGCGGACCAGAACCAGCTCGGGCTGATCCGTCGCATGGCAGAAGCTTATGATACTCCCGGACAGTATTTTGATTTTGAGCGGGACCAGGACTAATGGTTCGAAACATAGATGGTCTAAATGGAGCTTGAAAAGCAACATCGCGGTGAAGAAGCGTATGATGTCGACCCCTGCACTTGTAACAAGTTATCTGCAACGGCGTGGCTTTCACAGCTAGAGCTTGAGTACAATCTAGACACGAAAAACTATTTTTGCGACAACATCAAGATCTATGCGATATCCATGATCTTTAAAGCTAGAGTGGAGGTACTACGACTAAACTACGCGAACATAGACGAGCCCAAACATAGGAACGCACACTCTGTAACCGAAGAAACCGGGAAGACTCCGTCCACTTCATAGCAACATGTCCTATTTTACGGGAGATAAGTTGATTATACTGGGAAAAACACGAGTTGGCTACGTAAAATTCCAAAACGTACTAAACGGAGAAAATTGGCCGAATCTAATTGGTTTCCTAAGCGAGGCGCAAAGATATAGGAATCAATTCTTTGACGAATCGATATAGGAGACACCTTTGCATGTATGGGCGCTTTTCATTCAAACGATCTGGTATCTGGGGCAGAACCGGGAAGCCAAGTGTATAAGAATGGGAAGCCCTGTTTATATGCACGGTGATCAGCTGACGGTTTTAAAACCACGCTCTTTTTTTTAATTAAAAAATATATACAAATTAGAGCCCTGCACGAGTAGAGTTTAAAATCAGCTCTGAGCTTGAGCTTGAGCTGTTTGTTTGTGACTTTGGAATCATACGTCATGGGATCATAGAATCATTGAGTAAGAGCTCCTCCCATGAGCCTATGATTCCAAGAGCCCTTTCAAACAGTTTGGCTCGAGTAGCTCATGTCAAAAAAACAAACCAAACAAACAGCTCACGTTATTCGAACAGAAATAGCTCCAAGGGCTTAATGTCAAACATTTACAATAAACAAATATACAGTATTTTATTTACAAAAAGAGAAAACGATTATAAGAG